GGCTAAAATCAAGTAAGCACAATGCAATTTCATGCAATCACGTGGATGTAAACACATAAAGCTATGTTGAGCAAAAGCTAGAGTTTTATTTTCTTCCAAAACAGATGTAAAATAAGTTTCAACTTAGATTGCATTTCAATGAATAAATCTTAGATATAATTTTAACATTCCAAAATATTATTTTGTTTTTATTTTAGGTGGAGAAAGAGAACATACCAACTATATAAGACAGTTATTTATTTGTACTAAAGGAGGAAAGAAGTCTCAAGGTATGTTTTTAAATAAGAGGATTTTACAACTTATTTTAAGATTAATGAAATATGAAATAAAAAAAAAAAGGTTGAGATTAGATCACCTTTACATATGGTGAGAAAACTCATATTTAATTTGCGTAGGTGAAATACAAAATCTGAATTTTATATTGAGAATTTGATAAGTAATTGCATAAGAGTAGAGAACTCAATATAATAGATAATTTCATAATTTCATAATCTTATGGAAAAAATTAAATCAGAAATTTCATAATTAATGATAGTTATAAAAATAAAAATAAAAGTAAGATTTCTATGGGTAATCCATGGCAATATATTATTAAAGAAAAAAAAATTAATTAAAAAAAGGAAATGTTCATGATTTGAATAGCGTTAATAATTAAGGACAAATAAAAGGATATTCAAATGTTATTTTATACTACAACAACAACATTAAGCCTTTATCCCACTATGTGGGGTCGGCATAAAATACAACTGAAAGGTCAATAATCCCCTATTTCGAGCATTTAATTAAAATGCAACCATTAGTTAAGATTTATATACTTGATTAAGGGTGTAAATTAATACTGCAGAAGAATAATCTAACGCCAGTTTGATGATCACCCACATGTTATTCTCCCTTATTTCCTAAATATATTTATTTGCAAGATTTCTCTTGGAGAAAGAAGATGTTGTAATACTATTGCCCATGAAAATCATGCAGGAGAGAGAAATCACAGATTATTTTTTGGGTTTGGATTTCTACAAAAGAAGGAAAATCAAGAATAATACGAATTTTTATGGGGGATAGAATAAAACAATTCAAGAGAGAGAGAAGAGTAGCATTGAGAGAGAGAAAGTAGAGACATCAATTGGACAAAGAGAGAAAGAGATAGGGGAGAGATTGGGTTTATAAAGAGAGATAAATATAAAAAAATGAGAAATTGAATAGGAGAGAGAGTTAAGCTACCTTCAAACTATAAAGACAAACATGAGATAGTACAAATGTTAATGGGAGTTACAGAGGACCCAATGAAGAGAGAGAATAATCAAGTTTTATTTATAATTCATTCATTCGACCCCTTTTTATAGAAATAAGATTACATGATAAAATCAAATAAATCTCTCCCTTGCTCTCTTTATCCACCTGCCCTTAAAAGACTTGGTTAGAGAATATTAGAAATGATCTTTCTTTATTAGATTTAAATGAGAATTTGACCCTTAACAGAACACAACGGATAAAAAAGGCGACTATCTCTAATCTTTTCTTCCATTAGAGCTGCTCCAACCTAGGGGTGTAAACGAGTCGAGTAATGGCACTATCGAACTCAGCTTGTCAATCAGAAAGCCAGCTCGAACTTGAGCTCATCCAGCTACAAAAGAGCTCGAGCCGACTTACGAGCCTCAGCGGTCCGCGTCATCCTCCTTCCGCAACAGCGTCATCAACCTGTTGTAACCAAGTGAGCTCCCACGCTCGAGCCCGCCTCTTTCCACGCTCGCTTGCTGCTTGGTTCTACTTGCCTCGTTTCGCAAACAACGAACCGCCTTCTGCCTCGAATCTCGTCCAACCGGCTTACAAATGTGAGGAGCCGAGTATGCTTTGAATTCGCGTCCACTGGATCATTGACGGGATTTTTAAAAACACGAGAGGGGTTTTTAAAATTTAGGCGAGATTTAAAAAAAAAACTGCAATGTTTAGCAATTATAAAATTATTTAAAAAATATTAATAAATATTCGAGCTGGCTTGCGAGCTCACGAGTCAAGCCTCATCAAGCTCGAACACAAGCCCGTTTACTAAACGAGCTCGAGTTTGAGCTCGAAAGCCCATAAACGAGTCGAGCTCGAGCGAGCTAGTGAGCTAGCTCGGCTCGCTTACACCCTTACTCCAACCTTTTCACGTATATGCTCATTTCGTATCCTGTCTTTACTCTCCACTCATCCACCTGAGCATCCTCATCTCTGCAACACTTAATATTATGCTTCTCTTTTGATGGCCAACATTATGCACCATAAAGCATTACTGGTCTCACCACGATCTTATAGAATTTCCCCTTAAATTTGATGTAGACTTTTCTATCACACCACAAGCCCGGGTATTCCTCCACTTTAATCATCCAACTTGAATTCTATTAATAATATCCCCATCTATTTCACCATCACTCGGAACAATAGACCCAAGATATCTAAAACGTGTACTCTTATTAATGATTTGATCGCCCAACGTCGCAATCCCCCACTAGATATATTATTACTAAAATTACACTCCATATATTCAGTTTTAGATCTACTCAAACGAAAGCCTTTAGATTCTAAGGTTAACCTCCATAATTCAAGTTTATCTTCAACTCCCTCTCTAGTCATATAAACAAGAAGAATATCACCAGCAAAAAACATACACCAAGGTACGACCTCTTGAAAATGGCTAGTGAGAACATCCATGACTAAAGCAAAAAGATATGGGCTTAAGGCTGATTCTTGATGTAATTAGTTCAACTAAAATAGGAAAATACTTGGTCAAACCACCTTGTGTTTGAACACAAGTAACAGCTCCCGATACATATCCTTAATGACTTGAATATAAGCATTATTAACAACTTTCTTTTCTAGAACTCTCCATAGCATTTCTCTTGGAACTTTATAACATGCTTTCACTAAATCAGTAAATATCATATGTAGATCCTCCATACTCTCTCTATACATCTCCATCAAACCTCTCAATAAATGAATAGCTTCCATAGTAGACCTACCCGACATGAGTCCAAATTGATTTTGAGAAACATTAGTATCACGCAGCAACCTATGCTCCATAACTCTCTCTCTCATAATTTTAATGTATAACACATCAACTTAATCTCTCTATAATTCGCATAATCTTGTGCATCACCTTTATTCTAAAAAATAGAAATAAACGCACTTATTCTTCACTCATCTAGCATCTTTCACTTCTAAACCAATTTTTAGAACAAATCTTCTTATTTTTTATCTTTTTTTGTATATTTTGATTCTACCACCAACTATTTTTATTATTTGGAGCTTTTCCCTTTAATACTCCAAGCACATCTTTTGCAACATTCTAAATATCACTAACTACTTTTCCCACGTAAAACTTTAAAATAATCCAAAATACTAGAATATTATAGAAATATTCTGATTTTTTATATGCTCATATCTTTTATACAACAACAATTATCGAACAAAGATCAAGAAGTATCATAATCATACTAAAGCATTAATTTTCCTATACAAGAACAACTAACAAAGGATTTTATTTCTTCAAGATAATCATTGAAAATTATATAAAAATATTAAGAGAAAAAAAAGGATTAAAAAAATGATTTTCATTGTCCAAGAAAAGGTTTATGATTTTCATCACTCTAGATTTAACCTATGAACTTGAATGCAATCTTTAGCTCCTCACCTACTAGAAATAAGGGACATTTACATACATAACACACAAAACCTTCTTATTTACATATTTCACACATAAATATTTACATTTGCTCACATATTGCTCCCTTGTTTAAGTAACATCAAAAGTACCACTTTTCTAAACCCTTACCATTAACATCTTGTTAACGAAGCCCTGACACATTTGGTTGCATCTTCTTCTTCGTTGAGGGTTTCGGTATTCTAAAATACGTTGTCCAGTCAATGGCCTTCCCCTAATTGATTGCATCATGACTCTTTGCCACCGCACGTCACCGCTCCATTAGTGGCCTTTGGCCAAATCTAACTATGAGATCCCCCGCGACTTCCTATACTCATCGCATGCATGAAAACCATTGACCGATTGGTAAACTTTTAAAATATTAAGGTTTGGATGTTAAATAGGTAAAAAAAAAAAGTTTTGAGTATTACAAGCCATGCCTAGTGAATATATATGCCTCTCTGCAACCTAGTACAAACAATAATGGCAAATTTTCTATGCAGGTCATAAGTGCGGCCGATGCATTACCGAAGTCTCGCATGAGATAATGCAAAATTTAAACATAACCAAAGCACATTGATTTTAAAGATCCCAACACAAGCAGGTCAGATCAACGTAGCAAGATAAGGAAAAAACGCATAACACAACAACAATTAAGCATAATAGAACAAGCAAAACATTGATATTTTCAGGAGAAAGCACCATCACAAAGAATGTATTCACATGCGGGCCTATCTACAGATAGCACTGCGGAAAGATTTTGAAACCATTAGTGCGTGACCTTTTAACATAATACCTCTCCTCATATGTTTAATATCTCTGATTTAAGCTAGCTGCATTTGGCTAGTACTGCTAAGGAAAAATGATTGTCAAGATAGATACACCTTTCATTCTTAGCTCTTTTCAGTTAAATTCTGCTTAGGCTATGTTTAAATAGATAGTGCCAATTAGATATTCTATCAGTTAACGTTTTAAATTCTGATTTGAAATAGCAGCATTGAGCTATTACTGCTAAGGAAAACCACCACAAGGTCTGCTTTCATGTGCTCAACAAATTTAATGCAATCCAAAACTGGAAACGTTCTATGCAAGCCATTAGTCTGGCCCATAAATTACCAAACTCTGGTATGATATAGTGCAAAGTTAAACATAACGGAATTTCATTGATTTTAAAGATCCTTAATGAATGTTACATGCAAGTCGCATCAAGGTAGCAGAATAAGGAAGAAAAATAGTACTGCAAAACATCAATTAAACGTGATAGAACAAACAAAAAATTGAGATATTCAGAAGAAAATACCATCACAAAGAATGTATTCACCTGCAGGCCTATCCAAAGATTGCGTTGCACAATAGCCATAAGAATCGTCGCCTGTGGAACCATTTTGAAAACCATTGGCACGTGAACCTTTTAACATAATACCTCTCTTCATATGTTCAGTATCGCTGATAGAAGGTTCAACTGATTTGACTGGATCCTCTTGTCTAGCAAAGGAAAACCTAGATTGATTGATATTTTGTGAAATCCATGATCTTGAAAGCGCAACAGAAGAATTTTGGCCCCCATTGTCACTGAGCATCCTAGACAAATCATCAGCTGGTGACATTGACTCATTCCATTGGTCAAAGTCTAATGATAATATATCTGTAATGATGTTGCTCTCTTTAGTATTTACAGTTGTATCTTTCTCACTTCTACTTGAGTCATTAAAACTATCCAAAAATCTGAAACCTCTGTTGGAGCTAACCACAACACTGTCTAAAGAGATTTCAGGTTTGTACATATTGCTAAGGTCTACTTTATTGCCCTCATTTGAAGAGGTCTGATTAAAAACTGCATTTATCGGCATGATAGACTCTCCAGATGAAGAGTTGGTATTTGCATCAAGGTCATTTAAACTACTGCATGGCTGATGTTTGCAATTACTAAGAGAGTGAGTAAAATGAGGTGAGCGTGATATTTGAATGGTGTCAGCAGAGCCTAATTGTTTAATACCAATTATAGCTGGAGAAATATCTTTATCCCCATCTCCAGTAGATTCAAAACCCATCATTGGTAACTCTAAATTTGAACTGGATGTGGAAACTGCATTTGAGGAGACAGTTACTTCAAAGGATGGAACTGAAATTAAATTTCCAAGATCTTCAGAACCATTTTTCCCTTTTGTAGAAAGTTGGCTTCTCAGCATAGTAGAACCCACAAAAGCATTATTTTCATGATTGTGAACTGGGTTGGGTTTACTTTTTTTATCCATATATGGAGCTGAGGAACCCAGGCAAGAAGTATGTGCATGTTGATTAACATCTGTTGGCCTAGCAGAACTACTACAAGATTGTTTGTTCAAACTTTCCTCTCCCATCAAATTCACAGCATCTATTTTCTTCCTGGATGCAGAGAAGATGCCATCCTTGTCTTGAGAAACTGGGGAAGTAGGGCCCGCTAGACATACTTGTGATGAACTACAACTTGTTTTACCTGAAGCAGAGGTTGTTTGCAGGCCCACTCCTGATATTTGACATTCACTATCTACAGTTGACCATTTTTCCAGTATAATTGCACTAGAACTGCTCGGGGTTTCCTCGACAAGTTTAGATGCTATAACAGGATCATCATCCCATGCTGAATCTCCAAAACCGTTAGCATCAGAATGAAGAGAAACGAATGTCAGATCTGATGCAGTTGTGGGGGAGACCTTTCCAGGTTGAAATTTAGAAGGTTCTGATGGAAGAGGATTGCTATGCCCTTCCTCAGCTATTGACACTGTAACTTCATTGTCATGCCATGAAGGAGACACATCCTCTGCGCCTATGCTAATTGAAGAATGGGTAGAAGAATGGCTTTTGGTTTCAACCTTTTGTTTTTCTGAACTTTGGGAGCATACTGTGCTTGTAGATGGCGTCAAGCCATTTGAAGCACGTGAACCCCTAAGAAATGTAAAACTTAGAAAACAAAAACTCTACCAGATAAAAAAAAAATGAACTAGGCATACCAAGAGGAAGCTGCTGGCAGAATAGCAAGCCATCCAGCACTAACATTTGAAACTGTGGCCTGAGCTTCAGTAGTCTGTCAGCGTGAGTAAGGGAGAAAAAAACAATAGTGATAGAGAGAGAGAGGAATGGGGGCTTCAATATAGTTCCAACCTAGAATACACAGATAAAATAAAGAAGCTAGCATAAGAGCATACTTTTGAGGCATTATTAACTGAGTGTTTGTCTGAGACTGTTTGCAAGTTGCACCAATCTTCTGCAGGAGGCAATAAACTACCTGCACGTCTTTGCAAATTAGAGGAAGGAACCTGCAAGACAACACTCCTGCAATGCGAAAAAAATAAACATTTAAAACTGAAAGTACTAACAAAATAATACAAAAGAATGCATCCATAATAAATATTCAATTTCTATGCAAGAAGATCAGCACGTCGTACCCAATTATACATTTCCTCTGCTAAAACATAACTCCAAAATATTTCCCAAATGTAGGAATTCTTCACAAAAGAAGAAGCACTATGTGCAAAGTGTTTAGTATTAGACCAAAAAAAGGCAAAATTGGAATAAAACAAAATTATGCATGTGCTCGCAATTATTGTTCCAAAAAAATTTCTAACTTCCGGTTTCCCTCTAACAAGCAGTACCAATGGAGTGCACTTCCAATAAAAAGCCAACAGCTTTTGGGAGCCTAACGAATGGTGAAAGTATAAATATGTGATAATGTGGATGATTCCACGATATAATTCCTAATCAACCAATATGATGCATAGTTGCTTTCATCTAAAGAAAAGTATATGATTCACAGATCACAAGTTACCAATTATAACTTTCATTCCACATAAACATACAATAGTACTATTCAAGCCCAATTCATACTAAAACAATCATAAATATATGAAAATTCCAACAGGAATTTTTTTTGCAAATAAAATTAAAGAGCAAACGAATATATTTTCAGAAAATCAGAATTTTGGCATTTCACTCTTTGGTTCACTCTTTAACCAAAATCAAGGCCACTATATTAGTCAATTAATAAAATAATGTAGAACAAACAGAAAAGGAATGGAATTACCAAAAAAGTAAAGAAAAAAAATACTCCCATGTCAGTACAAGAAGATGACGTGCCAAAACACAAGTGCACACTTCTACCGCACTCAAAGAAAATCAAGCATCCAACTTGCACTCACAATACTAAGAAGGGAAGAAAAATTTTATTCACAAAATTTACGACTTACATGCCACAAACTACTATTTATAAAATCATCATAACACAAGTTAGTAGATAAGGATGGCATGGGATCAATCTTAATTTAAAGTTAATTTATCTTAATTTAATTTTAAAATCCTAAATCAGCTAATCCATTATCAATTTAACTTACAAGTTTTCAAATCAACTAACTTCAACCCTCAAAACCAACCTAGATACTCAAGGCTAGGTGAGAAAATCCCGCCAAACTAATGCTACGGTAACCCGCCACAATACCCATAAATATCAGGCCAACAACACCAGTTAAACATAACAATGGCAACAAGCTCGTATTAAATGTCCCCAAGTCATGTAAAAACCTCTTTTATATTTTTAATAATTCCAAATTCTGCTAGATGATACTAAATGTAAAACCACCACATCGAATGATGGATAAGATGGGATGCAAGCTAACGCATTAGAACTCATTCATCCACCAAAATGCTCATCATGAAGTTTGCTTTAACAATTACATTAAAATAGGATCTGTTCAAATTGTTCAATTCCATAAGAACTATTAGAAGATAATCTTAAACTATCTCTTACTTCATTCCTACTTAACCTAGATAAGTTCAATATGGCAAAAGCAAAAAAAAAAAATGAATCAACATGAGTTTTTATCCTATGAACAAAAGACACTTCTAATACGAAAAGAAAAATTGTCAGGATATCTGGATACAAAACGCAAAAAAATGGGTTTTATAACCTTTGGATTTGCTCCGAGATTAGTGTTCCATATGATATCCTGAATTGAACTAATCTAAGAGCCAATCCAATAACTTTGAAGCTCATTCTGATGCATTCTACATGAGAATATCCTAACGCATTTTTTTGCTTCTAACATAATGAAATTAAACAAGATTACTAAAATGAAAGAACTGCACTAAAATGGAAATTTTTGCACTTGATAATGATGGGAAATTGTGATATTCAAGATCCTCCAAGCCACCATTTATAAAGTGCTTGTAATATGATGCTTCAAGGAATTCATTGATGGTGAAGGCCATCATAAAATCCCTAATGAATTACAAGTTATCTATCTAGAACATCAAGGTACATAAAGCTCTCAAATCATTCCATCAATTAATGTCCATTGAAAGCAATCTGCCAATTTTAAAGTTCAATCAATCTTATGAGAAGTAGGGTTGAGTTTTAAGATTGAAGATCAAAAATCACTAAAAAATTGAATCAATTTTTTGCTTAGATCGATCCAAACAAGCTAATCCATAAGCCAAATTTTTAGCTCAGTCTGACCTTCAAGCTGAATTCAAATTGAAATGGATCAAATTGAGCTTATTCATATATATATATATATATACATCTCAAGCTAACACAATTCAAATTCAAGCCAGCCGATTTTGAGCTAGCTCATAAAGGCTTAAGTTGATTTGATTTGACACTAAACCCTAATGAGAAGAGAGCATTGGCCAAAAGCCATAAAAAAAGAAACTTGTTCGGTGGAAAGTAACTGAGAAATCATTCAAAAATGCAAATTATTCCAAACCATTAAACAAGAAGCTGATCAAACTTGATATGTTTAACTTAATAACCCTTAGCTCTACCATGATGCTATGAAACTATGAAAGTTCTATGCAACACTGAGAAGATTCTTCGATTAGATATTTTCTTGTTGAAATGGAACTCTATCAAAAAAATGTCATAAAAGATATGAGGTTCAATGCAACACTAAGAATATTCTTCCATTTAATATTTTGTTCTGTTGAAATGGAAATCTATCAAAAAAATGTAATGGCATGTCTTAAAAGAAATGGAAAAAATTAAAGTTTCTATGTATTATAGTTGGCTTCCCTTGAATTGCAAAGGCGTTTTGTTGTCAAAAAAGATGTAGCAGAAGCAAATTGACTGTATGCTGAAACTTCAATTTAGGCATTTCTTCAAAATAACCACTAAAACATTTAGGATTTCAGCAAAAATAAGCTACAAAATTCAAGTAAAAGGTAAAGACAAAAAAGCCAGAAATTTCCATCTAAACAATAGCACAATATTTTGAGCAGTAATCAGCAAATACCTCGTATATGCTGAAACAACTTCATCCTTGGTGAAGCTATCCTCTTGGTTGCCTATGTCATGCAAATATAAACAATCTGGATTGCTGCAAATCTAACCCAATTCAAGCAGTAAATCAAGTAAACTTACTGGAAAATTTCAGGTAACAGGATGAAAAGAAACAATATAACCAAGAGAAAGATGCACTACAATTCAAAAAGCAATGCCCTTACCATGTTTCTCAACCAGGCATGACAATACTTAGTAGTGCCAAAGCAAGCTCTGCAGTTATATAACAAAAGTTGTGAAATGAAGCTAAGAACGATATCCTAGAAAGAAAAATGGAGTTTGACCACATTATACCTTAAACGTTTACCATCTAATAAATAGTTGTGTACAGCTTGAATACATCTAACGGCATCTTCTTCTCTGGCATAAGTAATATATCTGCGCAACAGAAATAGATGAGGGCAAGATTCACGCATATAAAGGCAACAGAAATCAGAAACTAAACAAAACTATCAGTAAGTACAAAATGAGAAATAATAACTTGTAAATTTCTAGCAGCAAAATAACATTGCATGTGAATAAGGAAATACAGTGAATATAGCAAAATATTTTCCAGCACCTGCAGTTTTAGACAGTTAAAACAGAAAGATTAACTAGTGACCAAGGCAAACAACTAGATTATGTGGTAGTATCATCACAAGTTTTCTCCTTTACAGCTGATATGAATATGGTTAAAATAAAAAAGTGAATTTGAAAGAGAATTGTCATGATTACAATAGGAAGATACGAAAAACTTACACATTGTTATTAGATGCCTGTTGGTTTGTTGTACTAGCTGGACGGGAAATTGACACCTTCAAAATTTCTCCATACTGACCGAAATATTCCTTGCGCTCAAGCAGCTGAGAAAGTATTGAAAAAGGTCGCTTAATCTCAAACACAAAAACGCAAACCAATCAATGCGAAAAGGAAACTCACGCTTTCATCACATAAGTCAGCAGGTAATCCAATTATGTATACAAGATTCCTTTGTACCACCCGAACTGTGCTAAGATGCTTCCTGGCTTCAGCTGATACTTTGGTTTTCCCCTTTTGGGATCTTTGTCTTTTCCCACCATTCGCTTCTGCCACCAACCTGTCCAAGAGAAATGAATGATGGAGTTTCTCTCCAGATACTTTTGTTTACTTCAACATTAAGATGGCACCAGTTGAAACCTTTCACAGTTAACAGCCATTCCTACAATTCTCTCCTTATCATATGGAGTGCGGCATGCAGGACACCGGCCCTCTGTCTTCTCTTTCTCAGCCATTTCCATAATATGATGCCAGCACCAAACACAAATCTGAGAAAGCAAAAGTAAAAATAAAAGACTTTGAAAAACTAACTTGCATCAACAAAAAACACTATGTCTAAACTTTCTCGGATAGAAGATATATCAGCCAAAAATATAAACTTAATAAACCATATCTAATGAAAATTTCTTGCATCAAGAAAAGCAAGTGGGGATCTGTACCTCGTATCCACATTTGCATGGTTTTAATTGCTGGTCCGTGAGGTCCATCTCCTCCGCACAGAGGGGGCAAACTCTCTCTCCATCGTCGCTCGTACTTGTCCTTCCAAAAGATAAAATGAAGTTTAAAGCAATAGAACCAAATTAATACATAAATCCAACTAAATCAAACCACGCACTCCAATTTATCATTAATTCAGGTCATATTGTTCCCCATCAAACTCCCTTCTACAAGCCCCAACATAAAAACATACAGAACAAGAAAATTTCCAAACCCTAAAACCACAATCTTCCTAGTTGCCTAACCTTGCTCCTATATAGAAGCAGCAAACCCAATCAAAGCCCTGAAAATTTCTCTTCGACAAAGATGAATACAAACACCGATCAAGAAAATCTTCCATGGGCACAACTAGTCGTTCAAACAACAAGAAAAAAGCACCCAAAGTCAAGATCCACCACTAAATACAAAACAAAGCAGCAACATCGATACAGCGAAACAGATAGAAAACAGAGCAAAGAGTTCCGACTTTGATAAGAACGCCGCCTACCAATCGATTGAAGAATAACATAAAAAATCAACATCATCTATCGCTAGATCGGATATTGCTTACATTCGAGAGGGAATCGGTGCCATGGCTGAGCTCGAATCGATGCCGAAGAGAGATTGAGAATTTGAAAGAGTGTGCGCCGAGCAAGAATCGGGAAAACCAGATAGAAGCTAACAGATTAAAACCTTCGTTTCTCTTGTGGATTTTTTTTTTTTTTTTTGGAATCGGGAAAACCAGATAGAAGCTAACAGATTAAAACCTTCGTTTCTCTTGTGGATTTTTTTTTTTTTTGCGTGCCTGCCTCTTTCTGCGCTTGGACCTTTTAAAAAAATTAGCTGACCTCCACTTTAACAATTGCCCTTGCTCTACCTATTAAACTACGATTTTGCCCTTCCTCTATTTTAATTAAAAATATATATATAAACCCTACTCAAACTAATAATAATATATCGGTCATCGGAGGTGATGGTGGCGGCGTGAGCGGCCCGTGGGTAGAAGAGTGGTGGTGGGGCAGGCGGTGCCGTTAGTGGTCAGTGGGTAGAAGGGTGGTGGTGGCTAGTGGGTGGCGGCGACGATGGTCACGATCAAGCAAGTTTGTTTGCAGTATAAATGGTTCTCGTTCAAAATTGGACGAGATTAGTTTATATAAAAAATGAACCAAAATGATTAACAATGTGTTGCATTCCTTTTATCCAACTAAGCTTCAATAATTTTAAAAATCCTGCATTTGAAATACTTTATGCTCGTCCTACTTCCAACAAAACAAACCCTAATTAGAAAGCCGAAGCAAAGAGAAGGACGTGTGCGCATAATAAGGAGAAGAGTTCTAGAATCAACCACTCTTCGTACATAGTAAAATATATATATAATATCTCATAAAATATTTGTCAAACCTTTAGTTATAATGTTGGGAAGATTACAAGAGAGACTAAACTTAAGAAAAAAATGTAATAAATATATAATTTGATAGCTACAAACACGTGAACAAGACTCCATCAGTTATATATGGCAAACATCTCAATGTAGCTCTTCGATTGCCTTCAACAAGTGCACATGGCGAGTACCTCGAAGTCGTCATCCATAGCTTGTTGACACTCAAAATCATATCACATCATCGCCTTATATCTCTCATCTCATAACATGCTCACACAATAACTCATACTTAAATAAAAGCTCGTCAATCCACTCCCACACATATCGTATCAAGTACTCGTCATCATAAATCATAATAGCGTGTCTTTCATGTGCATACACATTTCATAATATGTATAACTTAATTAATATTTAAAATCATACTCAATATCCTTCTCATTGTCATTTTTAGTGTATATAAATAAAAAAGCAATAGGATTCATAGGATAACTTGTTATGCTCATTTTAACATGTACATCTATTACACATAAATTATAAAATTTATGAATGTCATCATTTTATGTAAATATAATACAAATTAACTCTCTCTCAGATTTAAAATTATTTAAATCACTCAAATTATGATATATGCTTCTAAAATAAAAAACAAAAATACCCAATAAAATTAATAGCATCGTGTATTTAGTGATATATTTTTTAAATATTAAGATATCAAATTTTTTGTATATTCTAAGTGAAATAAATTTAGATAATATAAAATAAATAAAATTATTAAAAACAGAGGTAGAGTAATAATAGTCTAGCGAGAGCTAAATAATTTTTCTAACTGATTCACCTGACAAAAATGGCTCTAAGATCCATAAAACCTAGCTTTTTATCTCCTCTCTCTTCCTTTTTCCATTTTTTCCTAATCTACCACAAGGCAAAAATTTATGGAGATTGGCTTAAAATGAAAATTTAAAGGATTGTATCATTATTTTTCAACCAAATATTTTCAAAAAAATTCAAATATCAAAATAATTTAAATATATAATTTAATAAGTATACGTACTAGAGCAACATATTAATTAAACATGTATGGTGTAGCACAAGGAAGCAAGCTGAAGCAAACCAGATTTAAGGTGAGAAGCTAATTCAAGATTTAAAATTAATAAATTTTTATGTTTTATGGTTGATGTATGAGATTTTTTGAATATTTGCAAAATATGAATTTCAAATTTTTATTCAATCTTTTTAATTTTGAAGTTTGAAAATCAAATGGGTGGGGTTTGCAACAAAATTAACACCCCCATCACAAAGTAAATTGCATCATTTGATCAAGGGATGCTTCAACCACTCTTACATACTTTTATGTGGGCCACATTATAACTCCCTCTATGAAAGAGTTGAGTCATCTTAATTGTGGCAAATCTTACTTTAGGATGAGTTCTTATGATGCAAGTACCTTTTAGGGTTTAGATCTACTATCCAGGATGCATGCTTTCACAACCTAACCCAATAAGACCCACTGATGAAATATGTCGTGTCATGTTGAACTGTAACAAGTAACTCCTGAGATCTAATTGTGAAAAAATTTCAAATTTTCTTCCTATAAAATGTTAAAATAAACAACGAACAATAGAGCTACTAATAATGTTCAATATGATAAAAATAAACTTAACCACAAATTCTTTTTCGTTTCATCATCAAAATGTGCATACAATAGTTACATTACAATGCATGACTACACTGCATATAGTAGAGCAAAACATAATGAAATATAGTCTTGATTGTATAGAATCAAATAAGAATACATATATAGACTTAGAATAGCTATTCAGCATATATCTTTCATTTTGCAAACCATGAAAATAAAATGCAAAATCACAGTGAGCTAAAACAACTCAATAAGCCACAAATAACGATCAAAATTTTCTTTCTTTTATTAAATATTTTTCAAAATTACTAAATGTAATATAAAGATTTATTGTGCATAACAAAGTAATAAAAGCATTGCACCTATTCAAAGATTTAAATAATAATATTGAGTGATTAAATCAATTGAATTTCATATGCTCTCAGTTTCACATAACATAATGCAGTGGATTTCTCTCTCTTTCAGATAGAATCCAATATTCCAGCCTCTTATGACTCCTAGCAGAATTTTTCCTCTTTTAGACATAATTCAATATTTTGGCCCATTATGACACCCAATAGACCCAATTTCAATATTTTGGCCCATTATGACACCCAATAGACCCAATTTTAGATATTTTTAAATCCAGATTCCTGATCTCAAATGAAATTTAAAAAGGATTCTAACCCCTTATATCTCTCATCATATATTTTTCATATCAAAACTCACTTAATTATACATACAATTATATTAGTACTACAAAATGGTGCTTGATTTACTTTCTTCATAAGGCTATTTTGTTTAATAAATTCTTTGGGTTAGCTTATACTTTGTGTTACTCTTGCACGAAAATCATGGCAAATATCTCATATCAAGTTTTTTTTGTAATTAAAATTCTCTTAGGTTTCATTTAGGACATTTTTCTTACTATTTTCTAAAGTAGCTTTTTAGAAGAGGTTCACAGTTCGACCGGTCGAACCGGATAGCATAATAAATAATAATATTATAAAAAATTAATAAAATTAGCTTCATCTTTACAACCATTTAACATTCAATGACTTTTATTGATTTCATTGAAACTTATGACCTTTAGTCTAAATTTCATTTTCATATCAAAGCACCTAAATATTTCCAAAATAATCCCTTTGCATTTCTTCTAATTTGCTTGAATTTAAGAAACAATTTTGTATCAAAAATTTAGAAATAATTGACCATCACTATTTTGGCATTCATTTAGCATATGTAACATTTCAAAATAAACTAATACTACAACATAACAAAATTGTATTGACCTCCACATCAGCCTATAATAATGATTTGCTTCAATAATAGCATATCATATTAGTTGGGCATCAACTAAATCTACAAAATATAAACACATAACATAAATGTGGCATCAATTAAGTCTATAAAATATAAACAAATGTTTCATAAATAGCTTAAGAAAGATTTACAACTAATCTAATAAATAAAGAAATAAAGAGTAATTGTAACATCAACAATACCACCAAATGACACATCTTTTGACTCCAAGTTCTGGTTCCTACACAGGATGACCAAATGATATTGTATTTAGGGAAGAATGCATATCGGTGCTAAGCGGAGAAGGAATTTCCAAAAATCAAAAATGAAAATGATGTCATAAGGGTGCCAAGTGGAGAAGGAATATAGCACGTACGGGAGGAACTTCACTGACTGGCAAGGAAGAAAGGTGCGTGTGCTGGGAGGTACTTTGCTGGTCTGAGCCTTGAAGTCGCTCCTCGAGATCACTAACTAGCCGAGGAAGTCAGAATGCCGAGTTAGGAAGAAATACCACGGGAGCAGGTCGCAATGCACGAAAGAAATTTAGGGCTTTCGCTTGAGAATGAGATTGAATAGAATTTTAGGTTTTTTTAAAAAAAAAATATTTGTATCCGAACAGTGTGATCACAATCCAATGTCTCGCCGGTTCGATTGCCGGTCAGGGCAGTTTGCAAGCGATTTGAAGCTAATTTGATTCTATAAGCATATCGAACCGGTCGGTCGGTTGGTTCACTGTTTGACCGGTTGAACCGGCCGGTCTAGTCCGATTCAATTTTGATAATCTTGAAATTAACAAATATTAGTGCTTCCTTTCCTTCATGATTAGGATATTTTGTGCTTGGTCTTTTTTTTTTTATCTAACCAATGAGAAAATTGAGACAATGCAAAATGATGTTTTAGTAGCAATCACTTTATGCTTTTTGATAAATTGCTCATAAAATCAAATAGCTAACATGCATGAATGCTATATGTTCTTGTTGAAAATTAATTGCAAAATTATGGAGATCATTCCATAAGAAAATGTTGACCGATTTTTAAGTTTCCGCCGATTTTTATTTCCTACGCGGTTTATTCCGATCGTTTATAAACCGCATAAATTTTCCAAACCTTGGTAACGAACAATTTTCCTACAGTATCTTTCGCAAGTGAAAATATTATGACTGTTTCATTCATGAATAAGAAAATAATAAAACTAACTCATAGTACAAACACACAAGTTAGGCAAGACAGAAGAGCAAATTTGACTAAAAAAAATAACAGTTTCAGAATCCATTACAAAACCCCAGCCTCTCTCCTCAGTCCTCACGCATGATTAATCCAGCAGTAAGCACTCCAATGATTGTATTTCATAAAAAAAAAAAAAACTTACAAGAAATTAAATTAATTGGAAGAAGAAGAAGAAGAACAAAAGGAAGAATATATATTTTGACCCTCAGATATCCTTAAAGCCGTGCGTGATCTGTTGCAGCTATCGAAGGAGAAAGATTCTTTTTAGATGAACCGTATATGAGCTCACTGATGAAGAGTATCTGATGTGTTATTTGAATTCTGTGTGCTGATATAGTCTTCCTCGTCATTTTTGCTGCTGCTACTGTTTCCTTGGATAAAAGTTGACATGTCTTTGAAGATTTTGGTCTTGATTTCCCCTCTTTTTGGATAGGGATTTCCTGTTGCTTTCTTCTGCGGTTCTTTGGAAGCTTGATTATTTTTGTCCATTTTTTAAGGAGGACAAAAAGATGATGAAGGAAAGCGAGAAATTACAGAAGAAAGAAGAAGAAGAATTTTGATGGAGAGAGTTTTTGAGAGAGAGAGAGAGGAAGCAGAGAGAAAGAAGAAGAAGAAGGGGAAGAAGGAAGAGAAGGAGAGAGAGAGAGAGGAATGAGAGCTGGAGAAATTTGGGGTTACGTAGGGAAGTGCTTGAGTAGGGGAGGATGGTTCTGTTTGGATTAAAAAAAAAAAAAGAAACATTTGGTTCTATCCATAATGAATGAACATTAAGGTTATATTGAATAGGCAAATTTATAAAAATGGGCATATTTTTAATTTAATTAAGTTGAAGAAGTAGGTTTAAGAAATAATTTAAAAAGAAGTAAAACTAATTTCAGCATTAAATTAAGTGAAAATATTTGTTTATCTCTTAGAATGCGGAAAATAAAATAGTTTTCCTGATTCTATTAAATTTGGAAAACAATTTTCTCATTCTATTGAATGCACAAAATAATTTTTCTCATTTTATTTATATCAAAATTTTATGTTAATTTTTTCGAAATTCTACATACAAGCCGTTATTACACACATTAAATCCAAATCTTATATAACTAACTTTATTTAACTATTTTATATTTATATTTTTGTATTTAAAATTAACGGTTCTTATTATGAAATATATGTAATATAACAACAACATCAAGCCTTTATCCCATTACGTGAGGTCGACTACAAGAATCTTTTTTCTCCATTGTGTCCTGTTAAGAGTCAAATTCTCATTTAAATTCAATAAGGAAATGTCTTTTCTAATATTTTCTAACCAAGTCTTTTTAGGTCTACCTTTACCTTTCTTAACATGGGCAAAATCTAATACATCTATTCACTTAACAGGGTCATTAGAAGGCTACCATTTTACATGACCAATTCATCTAAGGTGACTCTCTCTAATCTTATATGTCACTGGAGCTACTCCAACCTTTTCATGGATATATGTTCATTTCGTATCCTGTCTCTAAGATTAAATCCACTCATCCAACTTGAGCATCTTCATCTCAGCAACACTTAACTTAATATTATGCTTCTCTTTTAATGGCGAACATTCTGCTCCACAAAGCATTGCAAGCCTCACCACCATCTTATAAAATTTTCGCTTAAGTTTTTGTGATACTTTTCTATCACAAAAAAATTCCAAAGCATTCCTCCACTTCAAGCATCCAACTTGAATCCTACTAATAACATCCCCATCTATTTCATGATCACCATCACTCTAAACAATAAACCTAAGATATCTAAAAAG